GAATACCGATGATCCTGCGCTGACCCATTTGGAAAAGTATCAAAAAATCCACCCCTCAGAACTGGACTTCTTACCGAGTTCGTAACTTTACGCATCCTTTAAACTATTCTAAATACTATAAAAGGTTAATGAGAATGAGATCATGTCAGGTTGTGTCTTCTGAGTTAGCACACGGTGGTGTGTATTTGTCCACGGAATCCTAAATTCGTGCCGTCGGTTTCGCTGTCGTATTGCATTGACGCTGCGAAAAAAAAAGTTGAAGGAATGCTACCCCACTTACAGCAGTCCCCACAACATCCGCCCTGCTCAGCTCCTAAAGCAAAACGATCCTGCGTTGCCTTCTAGTTGTATGTCCGTGCCCCTGATATCATCGCCCACAGGGCGGTGCAGGTCAAGCAACCACACACCCAGCTCAACTACTAGTAAAGCCATTCTCAAATTTGCCTCGAGCACTTCAAAGCGCCGACACACAGCCAAAACACTCATCGTTCTCCAAAATGGTCCGTGTCCACCTTGCTCTCGCTGCTGCCTTGGCTCTCATCGCCGACTGTGCTAGTGCATTCACCATCGGTTCACCCGAAGGCTTGGCCGCTGGAACCACTGGCGGAGCTAACGGCAAAACGGTGTACCCGACCTCCAACAGTGAGTTGGTGAACTACCTCGCCTCAAACGACCCTCTCGTCATTGTGCTGAATAAGGCCTTCGACTTCCGTGGCACTGAGGGCACCACCACTGAGACCGGTTGCCGACCGGACTACACTCGCGAATGCATGGCCAAGAACAACGGCTACAAGAGTCAGGATGTGATCATCCAGGGTGGAAACATGGCCACCACTGGAGGTTGCACCGGTGGCACTAAGGTCACGGTGAAGTATGACAACGCTGCTCTTAAGCGTATGACCGTTCTGGGCAACAAGACCATCCGTGGTATCGGCAAGAGCGGTGTCATCAAGGGCAAAGGATTGACGCTTGCCGGAGACAATATCATCGTGCAGAACGTCCACATCACGGAGCTCAACCACCACCTTGTCTGGGGTGGAGATGCCATCTACATGCAGGGAACGAACGGTGGCAGCACGGCCATGAAGAAGATTTGGCTCGACCACATCAAGATCTCTCGTGTCGGTCGCCAGTTCATCACAACTAACAAGGCCAGTACCGACTCGATGACCATCAGTAACTCCGACTTCGACGGCAACACGGACTACTCCGCCACTTGTGACGGTCACCACTACTGGTCGTTCATCTTCTACGGCGTGACGAAGTTCAGTATGCTGAACAACTACATCCACGGCACTTCTGGTCGTTCTCCTAAGATCGGTGGCGAAGCTGAAGCGAAGGTTGTCGCCCACGTCGCCAACAACTTCTGGGGTAACAACACCGGTCACTCTTTCGAGATCGGCGAGAATGCGTGGGTGCTTGCAGAGGGAAACTACTTCAGCAACACCAGGATGCCCCTGTTCACAGGTACAAATGGTGCGTTGTACGCCGCAAGCAGCAGCGACGAGTGCTCGAACTACCTGGGCCGTTCGTGCGCGGCTAATACGCTGACAGATAGCGGCAGCTTCGACTCTCGTAACGGCGGAACTGCTCTGAACATGATTAAGGGCGTCTCTACTTGTGTGAACTACAAGCCGGATGCCGCCGAGACGACAAGTGGTTCTCAGCAGCAACAGCAGCAACAGTCGTCCCAGTCGAACGAATCGCAGCAACAGTCTTCTCAGGCGAGTGATACGACGCAGCAGCAGCAGTCGTCGCAAAACAGCGATTCGGAGCAGCAGCAGAGAGTCCAAACGAGTGGCTCGGTGCAGCAGGAGTCCCAATCGAGAAAGCTGGCTGTGCAAACAAGCGACCTGGAGAAGGAGTGGCAGCAGACCACTGGCAACTTCGGTGTTGG